TGTTGTTTTACGACCTTTTTTCATGATAACATTTTTTAACATTTTTCCTTCTAATAAACACATGTTGTCATTTTGAATGACTGTGTTGTATTCCACAGCATACACACCGTAATTTATTTAACAAGTCCCTTATTGATGTGTGTTTAAACTGATTTTAGTTTTTCACCATTATAAACAATAAAGCAATGAATAACTTTATGCATTGTCCAATTTTTTCCTTCAAATTCTTGGAAGTGAAATAAATAGGTAATAGGTTTATACATTTAAAAAATTAATATATATTTTCAAATTTTTATCCAGAAGAATTTTAAACAATTTTTACATCTTTCTATACTATATAAGAGTGCCATTATCCCCATATCTTGACCTTTCTTCTTCTTTTCTTTTCTTTTTTAAATATTTCATTTATTTATTTTTCAGAGAGTGGAAAGAAGGGAAAAAGATAAGGAGAGGAACATCAATGTGTGAGAGAAACATTGATTGGCTGCCTCTTATACACCCCCAACTGGGGATCTGGCCCAAAACCCAGGCATGTGCCCTGACAGGGAATGGAACCAGTGACTTTTTAGTTGCAGGCTGGCACTCAGTCCACTGAGCCACACCAGCCAGGGTCCATTATTCTTTTAAATCTTTGCCAGCTTGGTAGGTGAAAATATGGTCTCTCATTTTTTAAAATAGACATTTTTATTATTAATAAAGTTATGCATTCACACATATTTTATTTGTCATTTAAACTTCTTATTATGAGAATTTCCCACTTATGTCCCTTGATTGGGACATTTATTCTTTTTATTCAGTTTTGTCAAGTGTCTTTTTTGCCACCACCGAAAGTCCAGTGGGAATTTCCATGGAATTGTGTTGTTTGTAAACTGGTCCAATATGTGGAGCCAGGAAGAGATCAAATAAAGAGGCAGACCATTCCAGATTGGTAGGGAGCAGGTTTAATAAGCAAGGGAACTTCCACAGCTTGTCTTGGGCAGTGAAGATGAATAGATCACAATACCTACCCACCAAATCTTAAAAGTTTACATATATAGAGACCTTAACTGGGTTCAGTCATATATTCAGCCCAGATGGTTTCCACAACACCTTACTTTTTCAAGGCCTTGAAGATGGCTCCCATTGTAAAAATAGTAGGCAGAACATGTAGTCCAGGGACAGGGGAGGTGGTGAGGAGACTCTGATTGCCTGGGTCCTGCTTGTAGGTCAACTGGAAATCACGTCATTTTGAGGAACTCCAACACTTCACCCCTCACTGGGTCTTACAATCTTACACAAGCCCCCTTTTCACCAATGTGCTCCAAGTAGTCAGGAAGGAGTTTTACTAGCGTGGGGGTGGCTTGTCCGGCAGCTATCTGGCCATCCTGGGGGGGCAATTCCCTTGCAAATTTCAGTAGATGACACTTTTCCCAGGTATAATGGGGCCTTGGTGGGCCTTGTCAGCAGCATAGTACATTGGTCTCTGGTGAGAGCCAAGGTAATGGTCATTTTCTGCAATTTCCATGTCTTTATAATGTTGGTGTCTTAAGGCAGGAGTTCCTAGTCTGACATATGGGGAAATAGGCCCTACTGGTTGATTAATGTATTATATTATACGCTATATCATAGCCTGGGACAGTACTTGAGTCTACTCGGCCATGGTAGTTTTACCTGTTAGTAATGTAATCTGCTTTAATAGTCTATTTTTCCTTTCTACCAATCCTGCTGCTTGTGGATTATAGGGGAGATGGGACCTCCATTCAACGTCATGCTCTTTTGCTCAGTCTTGCATATTATGACCTTTGAAATATGACCCTCAATCACAGTTTATTTGATGATAGTATGTATAGTGAAACAATGGATGATTGGATTAACATTAAATGGTGTCTACAAGATCTACAAAAACAAAAAAGGCTGGGTATTTTGCATTTGCCTACTGTGGTTTGCACACACTTGGAGGGAAACCCACTAGCATTAGGATTATTGTCAGGAATAGACAGCAGAGTTATCAAACAACTACCCATAGTATGGCCTTGGTAATTCAAGGAGGTGGTGAATGTATACACCTAATTTGGCCAGGGAAGTAAGCAGCACTAATCCCAATGCAGGGAATCAAATGAGGAAACAAAAAAAAAGGTTTTTGTTTTACAATATTATAATGTAAATTTAGTCATGCATATTTGAATATCCTGGCATACTTTAGGCCTGTTGTTTTTCCCACTGGCCTTATTGCCATTCATGTAAATAAATTTGCATTAGCAGATTCACATTGCTTTACTTCCTCTTCTGTGACAGTTTTTTCTATAAGGACTGTTCTTAGAATGAAGAAGCATTTATTACCTTGGAGTTGCTTGTGAATTGATGTAGGATTATAGCCATTATGACAAACTACTGCTGTAACCTATTTGTTGTAACTACTGCCAAGGTGTTTGTGAGCGTTGTGGAGAGAAGAGACAGAGGAGGCTGGGCCTGGTCTCATGAAACATAGTGGGTGGGATAGATGTTTATATAATAATTATATAAGTAATACAGAATTATAAATGTATTAAAGACTATGAAGAATAAGTATGTGAATTTGAGAATTGTAGAATGACTAGGAGGTTATTAAATTAAGGAATAGAGCATTAGATGCAGAATGATGACAAAACATGTAAATGTAAATATTTGGATAATTTTCAGATAATAGGATAGAACTGGAAGTGTAGATTTGGGAGTTTAAAACTGCTTAAAGCACAGAAGTGAGAACTGAAGCTGTTATGGATGAACAATGGAAAGAAAAGGGGATGAAGAGTAGAATTAAAGAAAAAGCTTTGATAAGAGCCCATATTTGGGTGGTGACAGTGAGAGAGAAAGACATAAGCCAAAATCAGAGGGGCCAGTAGGTGAGGTGGGAGAACTAGAAGAGAGTAGTATCTTGGAAGTCAGGGTTCTGGATAATTTTAATGAGATCAAACACAGAAGAAGTTAGACAAAAAAAAAAGGGGGGGGGATAAAACTGAGAAAAGACCATTAGATTTGGAACAAAAATATTTTATTTATTATCTCAGAAAGTGATTAAATATGATGGTGATAGCTATTGAGTTGAAAAGTCAATGAGGGAAGGAATGAAAAGAATTGTAGGTAGGGAAGGAATGAAAAGAATTGTAGGTAGGAGACATACTTTCTGCTGGATAAATTGAGCAGTAAAAGGAAAGAGAAACAGTGCAAGTAGAATAGGCAGTAGGTTTAAATAAATCATTTCTTCAGATTTTGACTTGTAACTATGGAGCAAGATGGGGAAGGTGCTAATAATAATAGGAAGAGATTTTTATGAGAGTACTTTCTCGGAAAGTTATTTGTTAGGAAAAATGTTTACCTGAGTCAATGTTCTATATTTTTTCAAATGGAGCACTATATTCCATTGGGAAATTTAGAGGGGAGAATAAAATTTATTGTTTGAAACTCTCCAGTAAATGGAACACCTTTTCCAGAAGGGATTTTGGAATGGGATAGGTGGTAGTGGTGTCAGTAGAACTTGGGTATGTTTTTGTGAGAGTAGTTAGGATATAAATAGATGTGAATTTAAATGCAAATAAACTGATGTCCAGGTTTCAGTAAGCTGGTGTTTCTAGGTTTCCACAATTTCCATAAGAAAACCTGCTGTTAAGGTGAAATGGATCAATTCTTTGACCCATCAAATTTTCTTGACACTCATAGCAATGTAATGCCAACAAGACTAAATGATAACTTTAGCTTTTATATTATTCTCTTGTGCCTTCCTTAAAAGGGGTAGTTAATTAAGATATAAAAAATATATGACTAAAGCTGCTAAGTTTATTACATCATCAAACTAAGGCTTTGATGGCTCACTATCATTAATATTAACTAATAAATGACATATCACATTATAATAAAATTGGCTATGCATGTATGGTCTGAGGCACTTGACCAAGAAAAAATTTCTGAAGGTTTCTCTTTCATTTTAGTAATCCGTGAAATAACTTAGGTTGTGGTGAACTGAGGCAATTATTTAGATCATTTAGTATTAAAAACATTTTGACTGGAAATACACCAATAATTAAGCAGTTGGGGGGACTGATTTGTTTAAATTACTTTTTTTTCATTTTTAATTTCACTTTGGAGATGCTAAACATAAAGAGCATAAATTATCTAAAGACACTATTTTTTCCTTTCACATCTTTTTTAAAAATGTGAAAGAAAAAAATAGTTTACTTTATTATTGTTCAATTACAGTTGTCTGTAATTTGTCCCCACTGCTGACCCCCACCGCCGCCAAGCCCACCTCCCTCCCTAGCGTCCACCCCTCCCCTTGTTTTCTCCCTGTGTCCTTTATAGTAGTACCTGAAAACCCTTCTCCTCACTGTCCCCTCCCCTCTCCCTATTGTTAGATTGTTCTTAATTTCAGTGTCTCTGCTTATATTTTGCTTGCTTTTTTCTCTTGTTGATTATGTTCCAGTTAAAGGTGAGATCATGGGGGTATTTGTCCCTCACCGCCTGGCTTATTTCACTTAGCATAATGCTCTCCAGTTCCATCCATGCTTAAAGACAGTATTTTGAGCAGAATCTGTGTGTGCATTTTATTCAAAACAAATGACTCCTAAATTGTTTGTTGAATGAAATATTTGAAATCTCATGCTTGAAGAACTTTTGAAAAATGCTAATTGCAAAATTCAATTTCGATGATTCATTCGAGTGGTTTTTACTGTCACGTTAAAGTTAATATCGATTTTATCGCTGTTCTCCAAAAGTTTTTAAAACTATTAAAAGAGGAATGAGTAGACTTTTAAAAAAAACCACTTTCTTCAAGAAAACTGCAGTGTCCCCGACAGGTTCCCAGCCCGCCTCCATTTAGGGATCCCCGGATGCCAGCACGTTCACAGGAGGCCCCGGTTCCCGCTCGGCGCAGAGCTAGGAGTGACTGCTCACTGCTGGTCTCGCGGGGACTGCGATCTCGCTCTTCAGCGCGATCTGACGCTCCGCCACCGGCTTCGCGGGCCTGGGCGGGGCCGGCTGTTCGGCTCTGGGGTCTGTCTTCGCGCCCCGGAATTCGACTTGGAGTGGACTTGGGGGCCGGGAGAAGAAAGGGAGTGGAAGTCGGGGTCGCAGAGGGCCGTTGAGATAGGTGGGAAAGGGAGCTGTGTGCAGTGGTCATCCTGGGCTGGCGGCTGAGAGGGGCGGGGCGGGGCTGGTGGGCCCAGTCTGAGGGGAACCCTGGATCGCAGGTCGTGTTCCAGGGGCTTCCAGGCGCGGGGCCACGACGCCACAGTGCCGCCCGAGGCCGTGGGCGCCGCGTGGTTGGAGTGCGGGTCGGACCCAGCTGAAGGAGGCGGAGCGAGGAGGCCGTGAGCCGGCTAGCCGTCAAGCAGACTTGCCGCCTCAGAACGCGCGGGAAGCGGCGCTCCCGGGCTGGGTAGGCGAGCAGACGCGCGAAGCCCGCCTCAGGCGCGTTTTCTAAAGCGACTTGGCGGTTCTGTGAAAACCTCCGTTTCTTGGGTTCTCAGTGGTAGATTCTAAGTGTGAAATTGCACTGGGCCTGTAGGAATCTTGCTGTTCCCAGTAGGACACACGCCGAGAAAGGACATACTCATTTTATGAATATTTATTTTATAAGGCGCATCCTTTTGAGAAATCTGGGTGTCTGTGGCCTCCAGATATTCAGTGACTAGGATGTATAAGCAATTTGAAGGCTCCTTCGGGAGTTTGTAATGCAGCGGCGTTCAACAAGTGTTGATTAAAGTGCCCCCCTGGCTGATGGGGCTCAGTGGATTGAGCGCAGGCCGGTGAACTGAAGGGTCGCAGGTTCGATTCCCAGTCAGGGTACGTGCCTGGGTTGCGGGCCAAGTCCTGGGTGGGGGGCGCACGAGAGGCAACCACACATTCATGTTTCTCTCTCTCTCCCCTAATAAATAAAAGATTTTATTTATTTTTAGAGAGGGAATGGAGGGAGAAAGAGAGAGAGAAACATCAATGTGTAGTTGCTGGGGGTCATGGCCTGCAACCCAGGCATGTATCCTGACTGGGAATCGAACCTGTGATGCTTTGGTTCGCAGCCCGTGCTCAATCCACTGAGCTACGCCAGCCAGGGCAAAATAAATAAAATCTTTAAAAAGTAAAGTGCCTACTAGGTCTAGGCTCAGTACTGAGCTGAATGGGTCTCTCCTCTTCCCAGTTGTTGATCCATCCACGTTTTTCTGTACCAATGCTATGTTAACAAAGTTGTTACTTAATACATGCTGTTTTGCATATGAGCTCAGAAAATCCGTCCTTACAATTTTTTTTTTAAACGCAGTGTCCAAGATGAATGACAGCCTGTTTGTCAGCTTGGACAGACTTTTGCTAGAATTTGGTAGGTATAAAATAAAAATAAAGACATACATAACTAGTTGTATTATCATTTGCTGTTTAAACAATGAAGTGAAGTAAAAAAAGAATATTTTAGTTTTTCAGTATGAGCAAGATATAAGCACTAAAGAAGATATGATTCACCGAATTAATAGTAAGTAGTTTTGCATGATAAAGATGTTTCAGTTTTTAATTTTTTATGGCATATAAGGTAATATGCAGCCACCTTGCTTAGGGTAACTTATAGTTGGAATAAGTTTTATGCCAGTTCTATTTAGTGCTGATAATGAGCTATGTTTTTTATCCTCACCCGAGGACATGCTTATTAATTTTAGAGGGAAGGGAAGGGGGAGTGGGGGGAGAGAAACATTGATGTGAGAGGGAAACATTGACTGGTTGCTTCTTGGTATCACCCTGACCAGGGATTGAACCTGCAGCCTAGGTATGTGCCCTGACTGGGAATCAAACCTGTGACCTTTCACTTCACAGGATGAAGCTCCAACCGTCTGAGCCACACAAGCCCCAGCCTAATAATGAGCTATTTATCCTAAGTACCGGTTTTTCAATAATAAAATTTTATATTCAGTGTGTGTGTGTATTTTTTTTTACCTTGTTCAAAACCAGCCCACATGCTACAGAGCTGTGAGGCTAACTTCATATTACTTTTTCGTCTTTTATGACCACCAAAACCTGTGTTCAGATCTGATGGGAAAGGGAACATGGAGGTTATAATTCAGTATTTAATTTGTGTTGAAGAATTTTGCTATAAGCTGAAATGACCCTTTAACTAAGTGCAGTTGAAAATATGTTATTTTTTTCAAATAACACAGGTGATTTCAAATACTTGATACAGTCAGGGGCCAGGATTGATGCATTAATGCCCTATTTTTTGGGAATAATGATACTGAAAATAGGAGTGAAATGGCAAAACAAATTACATAAATATAGTATTTCAAGATTCTACAGAAAAACTATCAAAAGAAAACAGAAACAGCCCTGGCTGGCGTAGCTCAGTGGATTGAGCGCGGGCTGGGAACCAAAGTGTCCCAGGTTCGATTCCCAGCCAGAGTACATTCCTGGGTTGCAGGCCAGAACTCCCAGCAACCGCACATTGATGATTCTCTCTCTCTCTCTCTCTCCCCCCCTCCCTTCTCTAAAATAAATAAATAAATAAATAAATAAATCTTAAAAAAAACCAGAATCAATAATTTCTTAATAGTTCTGAAAAGGTAGAATTTGGTTATCTTTTGTGCAACAAAAATGAATAGAGAATATTAACATTTTACTTTAATCTTTTTATGAAACTGTATTTTTATCTTGTTTTAGTCACTAGTAAAAAGCCAGTTGAAGGTGCATTTAATAATTAATTGACATTTATTAATGAATAGAAAAATAGAAATTTCACATTTGTCAAAAACAAAACTCCTGTATTAGTTTCATGTATGGATAAATATTTACATGGCATCATAAGATACCACTGATTTTAGATATCACTTACTCTAGCCTTTTACAATAGAGGATATTTAATTTCTCTTCAATCCTAAACACAAATCCTTAGCTTCTGGGTATAGGGGCAAGCCTGGCTCTGGTTCTGTGCTTTTCAATATATGGCCCTTCCCATCTCAAGCCTATTTCCTCTCCGTTCTCTGGCTGTCTTCCTTTTAGGTAAGTTGCCATACTTCTTTTTCTATTCTATTCGTTTATTTTAATTTATGATTTCTACCTTAAGAAAATAAATATTTTCTCTTTTCAGAAAGCTTTGATGATATTAAACAAAATAAAGCAACTATTTGTAAGATACAGGAAACTATACATACAACAGATGAGGAAATTGGTTATTACTGTAAACATAGTAAGGAAATCAAAGACAACTGTAGTAAGTGAGTATTTGAAAGAAAAGCACTTTCGGAAATTGTTACTATATCCTTTTATTCAATGTTTCTGAGTTTATAGAAACTGCTGTTTTAAAGTAGTATTTTATATTAGCACAATGATGAATTAAGTCTTAATTGTCTTTTAAGAAGGGATCACAAGAGGTTCAAAAGAAAAACAGAAGTGCTACAAGATCTCCCTAATTCAGATCCCATTAGGTTCAGTATGTAAAATTTCTATTACATAAATAAATTTGAAATAATTTACATCTTTGAATTTTTAAGATCTTATTTTTGTCTAGTGAAACCTCACCTAAAATTAGTAGTTTTTCAAAATTTAAAAAATTCAATATGTTGAGAATTCTTTTGATATAGCTTCAGGCTCAGGATTCTAGTAGTTCTGAGTAGTTAACGGTTCTGAGAACAGTTAATAGGATCTATTGATTTTAATGTCAGGATTCTAGTAGTTAAACCCACTGTAAGACATACATATTTTGAAATAAAGACTTGTTAATGAAACTTTATTGTATATTACAAATACTTAAAAAATGTTAGTGTTTTGTATTTAATTTTATGTGAACCATTGTCATTGTATTAGATACTATACTTTAGAATCATTTGTTTTAAAATATTTTGTTCAAAATTTTAACAAGCCTTTTTTGTTTTTAACCCATTGCTTTTTATACTAGTTTTAAAATTTTATAAAAGTAACACATACCTAATATAAAAATTCAAAAACTATACAAATATATGGAGTAAAAAAGATTTTCCCTGACTGCAGTCCCCACCCAACCCTGTCCTCTTCCTTGTAGTAATCACTCTTAACAGTTGTGCATATCCTTTCAGACCTTTTTAATAAATATTCAAAATCATTACTACATATACTTATATCCACATCTATCTACATATCTTTCCTTTTTTACAAAAATGGGATCATACCATACTTATTCTTCAACTTGTTTTTAAATTTAACAATATGTAATGTAAATGGTATTGTATATGTAATGATTATGTATAGATTTCATTCTTAGCAGCTCCATAGTATTTTATAATATTGATGTATCCTGAATTATTTGACCATTCTCCTATTAATAGGCATTTAGGTTATTTCCAGTTTTTTCCTATTATAAGCAACATGTATAGGTACCTTCCACATTTATAGACCTATTATTGTAGAATGAACTTCTAGAAATGAATTTGCTAGATCAAAGAATTTGCATGTTTAAACATTTGGTAGATAATGCCAAACTGCTCTCTAAAAAGACCATACTAACTTATACTCCCACCAACAACCTATGAGAGTTTCTATTTTCTCACCCCCTTGCCAACACAGGAATTAGCAGTATTTAAATTTTTTTGACTATCAGGTCAATAAAAAACTATATATTGTTGAACTTTTTTTTTCTTTTTGACTTAGGTTTTTATTTTAGTAGGTTCTACCATCAACTAGCTGCAGTGGGTGCTGGAAAAGAACTGATAGTTTCTCCTTAGAACCTGTTACATCCAAGATGTACTGTATTATACAATTTAATCTGTGCTGGGATCTGAGAACAGTTAATAGGATCTATTAATTTTAATATCGTGAACACTAGTAGTTCATGAAATCAGCATGTTGCTTTAGAAATTTAAATAAAGAGCCGTGGCTGGTGTGGCTCAGGGAATTGAGCACCCACCTGCAAACCAAAGGGTTGCTGGTTCAACTCCCAGTCTAGGGCACATACCTGGGTTGCAGGCCAGGTCCCCAGTAGGGGACATGTGAGAGGCAACCATACATTGATGTTTCTCTCCCTCTCTTTCTCCCTCCCTTTCCCTTTTAAAAATAAATAACATCTTTAAAAAATAATTTTAAATGTGAACTATGAATTCATGAGAGTACTAGAAGAAAATATAGGTGATTATATAATCTTTAAGAAAAGAAAATCTTTCTAAATATGTTACCAAAAGTAGAAATAACATAGGAAATGGATAAATATGACTACATACAGATTAAAAAGAAAAGCACACCAAAATAATACAAAAAGCAAAAGGAAACAATTTATTAAAAAATAGCAGTACCTATTTTTCAGTGTTGAGAATATGGGTGAATTTCTGTGTTTCCAAAGTGGACAGTTATACTTTTTGAGTCTTAAAAAAAAGATGAGAAAAAGGAACTAGAGGAAATATTTGAACAATACTTAGAATGGAAGCTGCCATGATGTATGCTAATTATAGATTTTTCACATTGGTAACATTTTTCAAGTCATGTAATAAAAAGTGTATAAGATGAATATTTATTTTATTCTTAGCATCTGATTTTATAATTCATTTTGGCCTAGTTTCTTTCTTAGTTCAGGGGGGTGTCACAACCTGACTTTTTAAGTTTCAAAGGAGAATAAAGATTCTCTTTAGTCCTTATCCAAGCACTTCAAATGCTTACTCCAAAAGAATTTCTTTAAAAAAAAAGATTTTATTTATTTATTTTTAGAGAGAGGGGAAGAGAGGGAGAGAAACATTGACTTGTGAGAGAAGCATCTGTTGCCTGTTGCATGCCCCCAACCATGAACCTGGCCCAAAACCCAGGCATGTGCCCTGACAGAGTATCAAACCTGTGACCTTTCAGTTTGCAGGACAGTGCTCAACCTACTTAGCCACACCAGTCAGGGCCCAAAAGAATTTCTTAACCAAAATCTTAGGAGTACGATATTGCAGTGTTGCAGAGTATATGCTAGAAATGCCATAGCAATACATAGTCCAGCCCTGTTACAGTTGCTGTTTTCCTGGTTATGGTTCCAAAACAGGTTTTATGTAAAAATTAACAGATAATGATATTTATTTGAGCATATGTATGATTTCATGAAGGGTGATAGTGGTGGTGGGAGGGTGATGGGAGATGGGAATATTTTTCTTGATGGAAGCTTGATTTCTCCAGGAAGAGAAAGATTTGTTTATTTTTAAGTGGTTACATTTATTTTCATTATCTCTTACCATTTGTTTGCCTTTCTGAGATGCTAATTATAATATTTTTTTCCCATAGCTGGAAGCCAACATGTGATGTTTTTCATAAACATGAACACTATATGCAGGACCAATTTACTATTTATCAAGAAACAATTGAAAAAGACAAGTACAGTACATATATTAATTTAAACGTATCAATTCTATAAGTATTAATAGAATATACTTTGTAAAAATGTAAATTAAAAAATGCATAAATTTTGTGTATGGGAGTTGTTTTGTTTTATTTGCTTTTAAAGTAAAGCCAGTGTTTTGGACTGTTGGGGTGCCATAGGAGGCCAACCTACTTGTTACATAGCTCTATCGAATCCCAAATCCCGTATTTGTTTGGATATGTCCTTAGATCAGTAACAATTACTGTAGTAGAGTGCTTTAATTAATGGTGCTTCAATCATGACTGAATTGTTATAGGCAAACATCTGGGGGAATGGTTAGCTGTAGGTTTAGCTTATGAAAAATTGGGTGTACAGGTTTCCCCCACCACCCAAAAGTAGAGCATTCTTATGAAACCTTTCATAAGCTGAAATGGCATAAAGAAGCAGTTACCATCAATTTATATGGAAACATTTTTTAGCATTCCCAGACCTAAAAAATAATCTATTAAATCATACCAAATAGCACATAAAACCTACAATGACACTGACATGTAGTAAAAGCAGGAATGCATGATACAAAAGAGTAAATCGAGATAAAGCACACATGCTCACATACACAGTTCAAGGTTATGGTGGCTTGATGCTGAGATGCTGAATGTAGTTCCTGGGGAAGGAGCTTGGCAATGCCAGTCTTGCTGCTAGGTGTGGGCTGTCTTTATAATGGCTCTTTGTAAAACAAGTGATAAATGCTGTTTTGCTTTTTGCTTTCTTTTGTAACATCAAAAATTCTCTTTGGATTTATTTTGGTGAGGAAAAACAGGTACTAATGTAAGTCTTTTGTAAAAGTGAAGTGGTGTAATTTGAACTTATGGAAAGAGGGGGATACCAATATTGACTTTTGAAAGGTATTTTATATCAAACTCATGTTTTTCAGAAAGCTAATTTAGTGGGGTGTTACATTCTGATGGAGAAGCACCAACATTTGTGTTGTTTATTATGTATGTAAAATCACCTGGTCTTGGGGGCTGAATGTAATTAGTGAATATAATGGAACAGACAAGGGATTTTGAACACATATGTAAAGCATTATAATTTAACTTAGTGTTAGTAATTAAAATGGTTTTATTTTCAGCATAATTGGATGAGAGCAGTAACCATTTTATATTTTATTTTATATTTTTACTATATTTTCTTCAGCCTTATTGATATAATTGACATATAACATTAAGTTTGAGGTGTATAACATGATGATTTTTAAAAAAAAAATTTAAATTTACTTTTTAATCTATTTTTTACTGAATTTTTCTCCATTACCATTTATTCTCCTTATATCTGCCTCCACAATGACCACACTGTTGTCCATGAGTCCTTTTGCTTGATCCCTCCACCTCTAACCCTAACCAGAGCTGTCATCCTGCTCTTCATGAGTCTGTCCCTAATGTGCTTGTTAGTTCAGTTGGTTCATAAGATTCCACATATGAGTGAAGCCTATGGTATTTGACTTTCTCTGACTGGCTTATTTCACTTAGCATAATGTTTTCCAGGTCCATCCATACTGTTGCACAGGGTAAAATCTTCTTTTTTAAATAGCCCAGTAGTATTCTATTGTGTAGATGTCCCATAATTATTTTATCCACTTATCTATTGATGGACAGTTGGGCTGCTTCCATATTTGGGCAATTATAAATAATGCTGCAGTGAACATAGGGGTGCTTATGTTCTTTTGAGTTAGTGTTTTGGGTTTCTTGAAATATATTCCCAGACGTGAGATTGCTGGGTCAAAAGGCAGATCCAGTTTTAATTTTTTGATGTATCTCCATACTGCTTTGCACAGTGGCTGCACCAATCTGCAGTCTCACCAGTAGTGCAAAAAGGTTCTCCTTTCTCCACATCCTCTCAGCATTTATTTGTTGATTTATTGATGATAGTCATTCTAACTGGTGTGAGGTGATACATCATTGTGATTTTAATTTGCATTTCTCTGATGATTAGTGACATTGAGTATCTTTTCATATATCTATTGGCCATCTGTATGCCCTCTTTGGAGAAGTGTCTATTTAGGTTTTTTGTCCCTTTTTAAAATTGAATTGTTTGGGGATTTTTTTTTTGGTGTTGAGTTATATAAATTTTGGACATTGACCCCTTATCAGATGTATTGACAAATATGTTCTCCCATTCTTGCCCATTTATTTGTGGATGGTTGCCTTTGCTGTGGATATTGTTTGCTGTAGTCCCAGTTGTTTATTTTTTCTTTTGTTTCCCTTGACTGAGGAAATATGTCAGATAAAATATTGCTATGAGAAATGTCTGAGATTTTACTGCCTGTGTTTTCTTGTGGGATTTTTATGGTTTCAGGTCTAATATTTAAGTCTTTAATCCATTTTGAATTTATTCTTGTATGTGGCATAAGAAGGTGGTCTAGTTTCATTTTTATGCACATAATCATTCAATTTCCTAACACTGTTTTTTGAATAAACTATCCTTATCACATTCTATATGTTTGCTTCCTCTGTTAAATATTAATTGACTATAAAGGTGTGGGTTTATTTCTGGGCTGTCTATTCTATTTCATTGATCTATGTGTCTGTTTTTATGACATTACCATGCTGTTTAGATTACTATGGCTTTATAGTATAGTTTGATGTTAGGTAGCATGATTCCTCCAACTTCATTATTTCTCAGGATCTTGTTTCTTCATTCTGTTCTGGTTGAATGTTTATGTCTTCCCTCTTGTCCGAATCATTGATCTGAGTTGGTTTCCTTCCCTTCACTGTAGGTTTCCTTCCCTTCACTGTAGGTTCCCTGTATATTTTGCTTTATTTCACTTTGCATAGCCTTCACTTCTTTATTTTGCAACCACACCCAACCATTTCTGTGAGCACCCTGATTAACAGTGTTTTGAATTCTGCATCTGATAAGTTGGCTGTCTCTTTGAGGCTTAGTTCTATTTTTGGAGCTTTGATCTCTTCTTTCATTTGGGCCATATTTTTTTTTGTCTTGGGACACCTGTTACGTAATAAGGGGTGGAACCCTAGGTATTTACCAGGATGGGACAACCAATGCCGCTTTTTTGTGGTGGTGTATATGGGAGAGGGGTCTGAGAGGGAACAATGCTGCTTGCTCCTCTCTCACCCCGCTTTCAGTGACTTCCCCCACTACCCACAAGCAAATTGGGCCCTTCTGGTACTGATTCCCGGGTAGGTGGATTTGTGTATATTCTAGGACCCTGGTGGGTCTCTCCAATGAACTCTCCTATGAAGCTGGGAGTTTCTCCTGCTGCCGTAACTCCCATAAGGTTTATACGGTCAGAGATTTTGAGGCTTTATCCTGTGCTGGAACCCTGGATTGCATTGTCTCTCTCACTCCCCAGTTATTCCTCCCAGTTTTATCTGCACGAAAATGTGGGTCTGCCCCACAGCCACCATCTTGCCTGCCCTGGTCCTTTAGCCACTGCCTTGCCACAAATCCTTTCTACCCAGGCTCCCTGTCTCAGCCCCTCCTACCAGATGAATGTTTCTTCTTTAACTCCTTGGTTGTTGGACTTCCATACAGTTTGATTTTCTGACAGTTCTAGTTAATTTTTGTTTTTAAATTTGTTGTTATCCTTCTTTTGGTTTCTGAGGAAGCAAAGTATATCTACCCATGCTTCCATCTTGGCCAGAAGTCTTATTTCAATTTTCTTAAATTTGTTAAGGCTTGTTTTGTGGCCCTTATATGATCTTGGAGAATATTCTGTGTGGCTTGAGAAGAATGTGCATTCTGGTGTGTTAGATGGAGTGTCCTGTGTGTTTTAGGTACATTTGGTCTGTAGTGTTATTCAGGTTTGCTGCTTTTTTATGAATTTCTATCTGGATGATGATCTCAGTGTTGAAAGTAGGGTATTGAAAACCTCTACCATTATTGTATTGCTTTCTATTTCTCCCTTCAGTTCTGTTAACATTTGCCTTGAATATTTATGTGTTGCAGTGTTGGAAAAAATATATATGATGATTATATCCATTTGATGCATTGACCTTTTAATCATTATTACATAATAATCACCTTTGTCTCTTGTGACTGATTTTGACTGAGAGTCCATTATATCTTATATAAGTATAACCACTTCTGCTCTATTTTGGTTACTATTTGCATGAAATGAATGTCTTTGTTAATTTTTTCAGTTTTAGCCTATGTGTGTCCTTAAAGCTAAAATAACTTTCTTGTAGGCAGCATATTGTTGGATCTTGATTTTAAAATCCATTAAGCTCTTCTCTGTCTTTTGAATTGAGTCTGTAAGTGTTATCAATAGGTAAAGATTTACTATTGCCATTTTATTGTTTTCTGAGTGTTTTTTTCAGTTCATTTGTTTCTTCATCTCTTGCTGTATTCCTTTGTGATTTATATTTTGTAGTGGTATACTTTAATTCCTTACTCTTTCTCTTTTGTGTATCTATTATAGAGTTTTGTGTGTGGATACCATGAACATCTTATAGATATAATAGATTGTTTTAAGCTGATAATAACTTACTATCAATTGCATACAAAGACTATACTGTTACTTCTCCTCCCCCCTACATTTTATGCCATTGTGTCATACTGTACATCTTTTTATACCATGCATCCATTAATAAATTATTGTAGATATTATTTTAATAATAAATTAAATTATTTAAAAATAATATTGTAGATTATTCTACAAAAATTTTTTAAATTTTTATATTATAAAATAAAAGTGATTTACACAGTATCGTTACAATATTGTGGTATTCTGAATTTGACTTTATATTCACTTTTACCATTGAATTTTATATTTTAATGTTTTCATGTTGTTACTTAGTGTCCTTGATTTCAACTTGAAAAACTCATTTTAGTATTTCTTGTAGAGCAGGTCTCATGGTGATGAACTCACTTTCCTTTTGTCTGTTTGAGAAGGTCATTATCTCTTCATTTCAAGATAGTTTTGCTCGGTATAGTGTTCTTGGTTGGCCTTTTTTTTTTTTTTCCTTTTAGCACTTTGAATATATGATCCCATTCTCCTTCTGGGTCCTTGGGCTGGCAGGTCTGCAAGCAGCCTTTGGCTGTGAGGGGCTTAGAGCCAAGTACAGGAGCTTTCAAGATTCATGGAGTTGGGGGGCAGATAGGAGTGTCTCCCGCAGGGACCCTGAACTCTCACTAGTGCTGACAGACTTTGGCTGTGAGGGGACTAGAACCAAGTTTAGGTTCTTTGGGATCTTCAGAGGCATAGACAGGAGTCATTACTGCTGGGTCCCTGTGCCAGCAGGACTCTTTGGTGGTTGTGGGAGGGATGGGCTGGAGCTCAGTTTCAGGACCCATATAGAACCTACAGTCTGACTGAATTTGGCAGGTGTACCTCCAGGGACTTTTAGACTGGAACCATGAAGGATTAGAGCTGGTTCATGGGCCACTTCAGGGCCCACAGCTGGCACCAGTGTTTCCATACCTGAAACACTGGCTGGTATGATTCCTCCTAGGTCCCTTAGTGTATGGTACTGGTGACAGATCCAAAACCAAATGGGTCTATAGCTAAGTTGTCAAGAGTATGGAGCCGTTTCTAGGTTGGTAGCTAGGACAATGATCAGTAAGTTAGCCACCAGGATGTGAGCATACCTCTCCTCAGTCTTAGACTGCATCAGGTTTCATGGTCTGCTACCTGGATCCAAAAACTCCCTGAAAGGCACTTTTTTCCATAGATGAATGCCAAATTATTGTGTGTGTGTGGGGAGGGGGGGGTGATAGGCATGACAGACCTTTTGTTCTGCCAACTTGCTTATATCACTCCTAGTTTATACTTTAATTAAAAACACACACTTAATCTGGAGTATAGTACCCTGTTATTCAAAATCGGTCTTAAAAGAAGGTAGAGATTGAAGGTAGAGATTTGGACTTCATTAGCATTTGAAATCATGGAAATAAATGAGATTGCCCAGGGAAATGTATAGAGCAAAAATAAGGGAAAGCCGTCATGCATGATCATTCAGGGAATAGGCAGAAGGTAGAGTTAGTAAAGAAGACTATTGTATAGACCTTGCTTAAATCCAAAAAGGATTTGAAATAATTTGTATAAATAGTACCATAATGTTAAAACTAAATAAAAAGATCAAGGCTACAGGGAAGTAAGGATAATTTAGAAAGATGAAGACTTCGATCAGGATAGAAATTTATACTATAAGGTTTGCATATTTTTTAGATAATAAGTGTAAATTAGGCTTTGAAATTCCTAGTAGTAGTCAAGGCATTATGGAAATGCGATCAGTTTAGAATTCAGAGTATTCATTTAAAAAATAGTTCAGTTTAAGATAAGCAGATTTTTTTCAGGGGGGTATACTAAGAGTTGAAAGAAATTTCTCCCTTTAGTTCTCATAAAGGGGAAGTTGTACAATGTGGTAATCAGTGTCTTCAATATCCTCCCCAAAATAAACAAAATATTTAGTATTACTTCTGGTAACATCTCTCAATGCAGGCCTTCATTATAAAAATTATTAAAATGATTCTGTTAGGGTCTAACACAAACCAGTTCAAATATATACTTTTCAGATAGTGTGTGTTGTTGATGACTTCTCTTAGTTTGCCAGAGCTGTTTGTTAAAGTGAAAACAGCTCTCTTTTTGTTTCTTAAATGAGTCACATGGGTTGATTAAATTGATTACTCACTACCAGGCATTTATAAAAGGAAAAGAGTCTATTTATTGGTATCATGGGTAATGAAAGAAGTAGAGGCACCAGCTCCTGTTTCTCCTAACCTCCCATCCCTGTTCCAGGCATTCACAGAGACTAGTATTTTTGGCAGCAGATGAGATAGTAATGACTCTTCTTGAATCATGACTTTGCTATGCTGGTCTCTGTCAAAGTTCCTGTATAGAGTATGTTAGAAGAATGGACATGAAGATATAATTTGAACAGGATAGATGTGGTATGCTGCTCTCATCAGAAACCAGTGACTCAGACTCAATTTTCTTATCAGTATTTCCCTCCTTTATGGACCATTTCCCTCAATGAGCACTTAATTAGCAAATATGCATTTAGAGGAATAGGATCTTGTTTGGGGCTGAACTCCTTTATTTTGTTAAAGGAACACTTCATTAATATTAAGAAATTATAACATTCTTAAGATTCAGACCTGCTACCCAGTATAAGGTTGTTATCCTTACTTTTCTTCTTACTATACAAGCAATTTATGAATACTTGTTCTTTTCTCATATGATGAGGTGAAATAATCATTATAGTACCTTTTAAGAAATTCCCCCTTATAGCATGGCTTGATTTAGAAAATTTATAAAATTTCAAGGGATGTGAGGATTATATATATTTTAGAATATTTTCTATGACTGTTATTTCTTGAAACTAAGTATTTGATAAGAACTGGGTAAAAAGAGGATCCGAGAATATATTCTCTATAATGAACTGGATCAAACATTTTTAGTCATACAGATCAGGATTGGTAAACTTTATTGTAAAGGGCCAGATAGTAAATATTTTAGGCTTCATGAGCTATACAGTCTCTGTTGTAGCTACTGAATTCTGGTGTTGTGGTGGAAGAGCAACTCTAGACAATATGATAATGAATGACTGTGTTCCAATAAAACTTGATGGATATTAGAGTTTGAATTTCATATAGCTTTAATGTGTCACAAAATACTATTTTCTTCTTTAGATTTTTTCAAGTCATTTAAAAATGTAAAAACCATTTTTAGCTAATGGGCCATACAAAAACAGGTGACAGGTTAAATTTAGCCCATAGGTCAAGTAACTTTAGATCAAGCAAAGGTCAAATGAGAAGGAAGAGTTAATATCCTTTTGCAAGAATTAACGGTCTCACTCAAGACTTGTACCTAAATAGATGACCACCCACCTCTACCTGAGTTGGAATGGAGGAGTTTCTCCAAACAGTGCTGAAATTTTCTTTCTAAATTAGTTTTGGAGTATACAAGAATGATTGTGAACACAGAGTTGTACCACATAGAGCATGACTTTATATAATAATTTTGGCTTAGATAATTGAAGATTTAAAAAGCATAGTTAAAAATGGGACAACTGTAATAAATAGCCTAATCAATAAAATATACTTTAAAAAAGCAAAATTATAGAGGTAGCTGAGCTGGAGAGAATAGAGGCTCAGAATTCAGGGAAGATAGAAATTCAAGAAGTGATCAAAACTAAATTCTACAATGTCACTTGGGAAGAGAACCTTTTAAAAAGAGATCACTGAATTGGATGAATTAGATCTTTGGTAATCTTGGGAAGGATGGTTTCATCAGAATGGTAGGAGTAGAATTTAAACTGAAGAGAATAAAAGAGTGAATAACTAAAGTAGTAGAGAAAAGTGTAAGTTGGAAAGTGTAATGGAATTACAGAAAGTTTGAAGGGCAAACAGTATTGAGGGAAGCAGGGATAAGTAGATATTTCACTTGTGTTTTAGGTTAATTTAGTAGACTTTAACAAGTGATATTTTAAAAGTTTTTTTAGATACGCTGTTGTGATAATGATGTCATTTTTAAAAATTTTAACAGAAAAATGTACCATGGTTATGTATGTCAGTATAAAGATGTTTTGAAGCAATACAAACTAAAATACTCAGAAACACCTCTTTCACGTGAATATTACGAGAAGAAAAGAGAACATGAAGAAATTCAAAAGAGAGTTTTGGCATGTACTGAACAACTAAAAATGAATGAAGCTATTTTTATGGAATTTCTAGGTATTAACATTTTTATTATATACTATTTTAACAGTAGTATCTTTGTAGTGAAATATGAAGAATATGATGACTCAGTCTAAAATATGATTTTGTTTTTCAGTGCCTGCTCCCTTTCCATCACTTATTAAATGGACATTACATATGTATCCGCAACAGTATTCCTACTTAGAATTTTTATTAAATAAGTATTATTTCTGTATTTTAATTGTTACTGTGTTTCTCCTGTAAGAATCACATGGATTTGTTTTGAGTTTACTTTAAAGTTCATCTGGGATTAGTTTTAATATATATGTATGTAATCAGAAGCAGGCAAATTTAATGAGAATGAAGTGGCATATTTATTTGGCTTTAAGTGGCATATCTTAGCAACCAAACCAATGAAAAAGTCATCTTGCCCTGTCTTACCAAAGAAAGAATTCTAATTAAATCAGCTGATTATTATTTGTTAGGATGAAAGGTGATAAAGAGATGAATCACAATTATGAATTCATCTATAGAAAGTCATTGGATACCTGCCTCGTGCCAGGTGATACTCAACAAGTTACAGAGCTTTCTTGCAAGGAGCTTTTAGTATAAGAGACAGATGTATAAGCAGTAATTCTGATACAGTGGCATTGTATTAGATGCTTAAGTAGTTCTTAATTGGTCTAAGTCTCATTTGTTTGTCAGGATCTTCCCTAGTGATGAACTTGGAACTTTAATCCTCTTCCAATTTCCACAATCCTTCATATGCTTTCCTATCAGATTATAACTCCACTGTTTGTACTAAGCTTCTTTATCCCTGCATTCTACTTTTCTTCATACTGCTTCATCCTAAATTCCTTTTACTTCTTTGCTGCTTGTTCTTTCCATGTTTTAATTTTAACTTATTATGTTCTTAGTTGTTCATTTGCTGCCCATGTGTATTTTAACTTCTCAATGGGAAGGGGCAGAGGTTGGTAGATGCAGAAGGCACAGCAGTGGTTTAGGGAATTGGATGTAGGATGGGATGAGATGTAGGATGGGATGTAGATGGGATGTAGGATGGTATGAATGCATGGCAAACAAGAAGAGGTGATTGAGGTAGGGAGAGGATTTAAATGTTTATATCTAAAATTTTAAATTGATACTTTTGATGACAGCATAGCATTATACCGTTTATCTGAAATTTTACGTTCTAGTACATAAGTCATATTTTAAGGCAGAATACAAAAAGTTCTGACAGATTTTCTGTGAAGTTCTTGTTCACTATCCTATTTATTTTTAAATTCTCCTAAATGGATTGTAGAGCAACTTAGGAAATTGTAGTAGCTAATAGCCATGCAGGCTGTCTGGTAACAGCTAAGAAATTCTCTACTTGAAATTGGGTAGAAATTCAGTTCAGGTATAAAGTCCAGATAGAATATTTAGCTCTCTTCTGAATTCTGCAGGGTACACTGATGAACCTTACAGAGCAAAAAAAGGGTAGATTTTTAATGTTGATTTTGGAAAAAATAAATAATGGAAACATGAGAAGTTAAATTTGGACTTGAATTGGTTGTATATTGTTAGTCATGCCAAATGACATAATGAATAGGTAAAAAACAAACAGAAGCACCAAAACACTAAATGTAAAAATATTGTAAAAATATTTAACTGAAAGAAAAAATCTTAAGTATTTTGGATGGTATGTTATTTTTAAGCTCAATATATTATATTACATAGGTAAACAATAAATTGTCAGTTGCCAGATGTTTATATTATTCTAACTTCTGTTTTTAGAAACTGTTATTAATACTGGTTATTGCTTATGTGGAACATATATATAAATAATATCATACAATATTAATTTGTATAACATAGTTCCTTAACATGTTAAGTGTTAATTTGAGATGTAAAACACAAGATATTCTTAGACATGCCAACAATTTTTCCAAAATTTCATGTGAGTTGAAGAAAGAAGTAGATGAAGTGGAAATAGAAATTAATTATTTAAACCAGGTATATATTTTGTTATATGTCTCTGATATATGTATTAATGTGTAAGTATAATAGTATGTTTACTTGACAGTCTTAGAAGAGCTATTTCTAAAGAGCCTAAATATGGACAAAGGCCTATGATAATTTGTTTGCCTCTGATTGCCTTTGGAGCCAAAATGTAGGTATTGAGTATATTCAACCCTGGATTTGGGGGACTTGTTTAACTTTCTTTGTGGACTGAAGAAGATGATGAAAGAATAAGACATTAATAACAGGAATTTAAAGGCATTAAAAGAGCTACAGATGTTCTAAAAAAAAAGAGAACAAGACAGTAAATAGTTTAAAGAACTTAATCTTGAAAATTTATGACTGTAATTATTTATTGTTGCTCAGTTATAGTTGTCCTGCCTTTTTCCACATTGATGACCCCTACCCTGCCCCTTGCACTTCCACAATCAGTCTCCCCCATGGCCCTTGCCCATAAGTCCTCTATTCATGTTCTTTGCTTGACTTTTCCCCTTCCTTCCTACATTATCTCCCTTGTGCTCCCCACCCCCGCCCCCAGTCACTGTCAGTTTGTTCTTTATTTCCAAGTCTCTGGTTGCATGTTGCTCATTTGTTTGTTTTATTGATTAGGTTCCACTTACAGGTGAGATCATACGGTATTTGTCTTTCACCACCTGGCTTATTTCACTTAGTGTAATGCTAGGGCTAGAACTAGTTTAGCTTTTAAGATTAATTGTGCATAATATTTTCTTGAGTATATTTTAGTGCTATTAATTGAAATGTGACTTTCATTGACAGGTATGAAGACCCATTAAAGTCCAAAATTTCCCAGATCTTGAGAAAAATTTAATAGATAATTTTCTAAATTTTCTGAAAAATTGTGTTAAAGATGATAATTTATCATTCATAGTAATGCCAAGAAAGTGGATTTGACTTCCTGTAAAGTAGTAATATATGGTAACTATGTCTCTCTGTCAGGAATCTGCTTCTGACTGTCCTTTTTTAAAAAGAAGGTGGCAGTTCATTGAAATCTAGGTTTGCTAATGGAGTTGTAAGGAAAAGTTAAAGGAATAGGTTTTATTGTTAACTTTACTTTGTTTTACTAACTTTCACTAAACGAAAGCTAATACTACCAAAAATATAAATCTTGTGATTATATAGAATAATCATATTAGTTAAGATAAAGCATATGTTCCTTAATACTTTGCAAGTAATTGTTTTGCTTTATCATTTCTTTTTAGCAGATTGGAAGACTTTATGAAACTAAGAATCTTTCAGAAACTCTGGAAGAAAAAACTAAAGATACAGAAAAAAGAAAGGAATTGAAAGAAAGGTATAGGTAAACTTTAAAATGGGATTTCATGTGAACAAATACTCTGTATCTAACGATTTTATTCTATATTCTATCCCAAACCACTAACATTTACACAGCATTGTATACATACTCTCTTGTGGAGACTATTATGAAAAATATTAATTTATACTTTTAAATATTATGGACTGATTTTCAGATTTGCTCATTGTTTAGTAAGGCCAACCATAATTTATAAAGAGAAATAGGGTAGCAGTAGCATATTCACTTTTTTCTAATCTGTCAATTGTATATTTCATTCAGTTTTTCATGATGAGTCACCAATAAGAACAATGGTGGGAGTAGCAGTATATTATCTTTTCATTACCTAGTCACCAGTTTGACTTGTCACAGGGAGGGAAGATGAGCCAAAATGCTACTGAATTGTGGCATCATATGTTTCCTTATCACTTATCCGAATAGTGATAAAATAGATATCAATGGTGGAGGCATTTTTTTTAAAAAAAGATCAATTTTGTCTGGTACTGTGTGATGGAAAAATACATGTATTACTGTTGCTGTTTCTGATAAACTTTCTATTGTTCTCTTTTACCTCTATCCTTTATCATTTGTAAATTCTTTTCCTCAGGCTCCATTGCTCTTATCCTGATTTTTTGACCCATTTCTCTCCCAAGTTAATTTCCCTGATCCTGCTTTCTTGGATCTATTACTTTCTTGTCTCACATTCATGGTAATATGTCTTTAATTTTGTAATCAAATTGATTTAAAAATAGTTAAATGTACAGAATTTTAGTTTATTGACAAATTTTTAATGTTATAAAAATTGTCTATATTGAGAGGAACTTACATAACTAGTAATTTTTATTTAATATGATAGTTATTATCAAATAATATACTTATTTAAATTATTTAACCATTAATAATTAAATTGTTTATTTAACTTAGGAAAAATTCAATAAAATTATTTTTCCAGTGAAAAACTTAAAAGACTTGTTTATGATTATAGTATTGCTTTAATGATTTCTATATTCATGCTAGTTGATTTATTTCTAAATAAATCTTTCTAAAGTCTGAAGTATTCCAAAATCTAAAGCATACTATTTGTAGATAAAATTTTCATTTAAAAGCCCTGGCTGGCAAAGCTCAGTGGATGGAGCGCGGGTTGGGAACCAAAGTGTCCCAGGTTCGATTCCCAGCCAGGGTACATGCCTGGGTTGCAGGCCATAACCCCCAGCAACCGCACATTGATGTTTTTCTCTCTCTCTCTCTCTCTCTCTCTCCCTCCCTTCCCTCTCTAAAAATAAATAAATAAAATCTTAAAAAAAAAAAAGAAAATGCCTATTTGTTTAAAAAAAAATTTTTCATTTAAAATATTTTTTGCATGTTTAGAAAGTTTTTAAAAATATGATTATGTTTTTAAAATTAGAGTGTGGTATACTTGAGGTATACGTGTGGCACTGGATTTCACCAGGAGAGGGGTGTTTTATCTGTGATACCATTAAGTAATTTAATAATATTGGGTAGACCTGTTAAATTTTCTGACACTCAGTTTTATCTGTGAAATAAGGAGGTTTAACTAACATAGTATCTAAATATCTCTTCTGGCTTTAATATATGTTAATTTCTTTTAAAAAAATTTTTATTAAATTTATTGGGGTGACATTGGTTAATGATATTATACAGGTTTCAGGTGTACAATTCTATAGTACATCATCCATATATTGTATTGTGTGTACACCACCCAAAGTCAAGTCATCTTCTGTAAATATATGTTAATTTCTTACTTCACTAATACTTAATGTAATTCACTCTTCTCTTTAGAGTTTTTGAAAAAGATGAACAGCATGTATTAAATAAAACCTCTCAGAAAAGTCAATTACTTCTTTCAAATGAATATCAGAAATTAGTCAGACCAATAAATGTTTTATCATCAGAACCAAGAGTTATAGGTACAGTATCTAAATATTTATTTTCAAAACTTGGTTTTCTTTGAAAACACCTAGAAGAAATAGAAGTAGTAATTTTAGTTATCATTTGGTGTAACTAAGAACAAACAATACTAGAAACATATAGACTCAGAAAAGTACCACTTTGATTTTTTCTGAGAGCAAACAAGAAGTTAAGTATGACTATATTTTTCATTTGAGAAGTTGTTTTATAATATATATGATTAAAAGTGGGTATCAGGCTTGTGTTAATGATATTTGTGACTTAGTCACTGAAATATTTGATTCATGATTCACTCAATAGATGTGCAGATTAGATTACATTGAATTAGATTAAGTACATTGGTTATTTTGCCCCCTAGTCATTAATGTCACCACTGTATTTGGTTCCCCATTATAAAGAAGTAGTTTTTCCAGCTGGTTTTCATTTTATAGTCATAGTTATTGTAATAACTATTACATAGTGAGGAATTAAGATTTGTGTAATAACTTCATAATTCTGTATTTTAATTTAAATTAAGTATTCATATGACTTGATTTTTAAAATCAAGGTAGGGTTAAATTTTGGTTATGATATTTGATTCTCTTTCTGGAATTTATTTGAAGTTGTAAAATTTAAAATCTAGATAAAAAAGAAGACAGTTTTGTGAAGCAGTCAAAACTTCCCCATGTTGACTTCAAACAAAAAGAAAACAGTGTACAGGTAAGTATTTCTTTTTAATAATACAACTTAAATACTTGCTTGCATTAAATGAAATAATGAATGTATTGCATTTTGGGCATGCTGTGTGTGTGTGTGTGTCTGTCTGTCTGTCTGTGTTTTATAAATACAGGGTCCAGCAGAAGTAATGCCGGCTTGAGTGTGGTTGGTAGGGTGGTAATTTGGGTGTAATAATTTTTTAGTTTTAATTTGAACAATTCACCTAAAATGTCATAAGGTATCCTTGAGCGTGATATTGTTATGTTACAGAGTTACATGCTTATGATTGTGTAATAAAAAAGGGGCATTATTTGTGCTGGACCCTGTATATTAAATAGCTTTTAGTACAACCTCAGGGTCTAATAAAACTTGAGTTTCAACATGGCGGCCTGAGCATACACTGTAGCCTTCTCATGTACTCCTAAAAATAATAGAAAAGATATTTTAGAATACTGAGACCTGTACCCAGTAGACCAAAAACTGTGAGACATTTCTGAAGGAGGAAAGCAGGATTGGATTGAAGAGGGAAATTGTGGCCCAGGACTTGCATAGGATAAAGAGTAGTGATGACCAAAGTAATTAGTGGAACTTGTTAATTCTAAATATGTATTAATGATAAAAGCTTAAAAATCTGGTACTAAAATTCCAGATATCAACATGGGATGGAGGTGGGAAGATAAATGAGGGAAACAATTTTACTCAAGTTCTTTTTGGTTAGGAGATGGAATTAAGGAGAAGATACAAATACTGGTTAACTCTATATTGATGGTAGAATGTAAAATTATGCATGTATGTTAAACATTTAAGGGTAACCAACTGTAGAGAAATGAAGTGTGTAGGTTTTAAAACACCTATTTAAAAGGTGAAACAAAGAAAAATCAGTCCAACAAAAGGCAGGAATGGGGAAAAATAGAACAGCTAGAAAGCATTTTAAATAGAAAACAAATAGGTACCAAAAATAGTTCTGAACAAATTAGTAATAATAAAAATGTGATATAAGTGCTTCAGTGGAATATATAAATGAAATAGAGTTATGTACTATTAAAACAGAACAGCTTAAACAACTTGACAAATGAAGGCTAAAAATAAAAGGATGGAAAATATACATCAGGCAAAGCAAACAAAACCAAAGAAGATGTAACAACACCATATAAAATAGGGTGCAAAATTTAAAAAAAAAATTAGAAAGGATAAATATATTTCATATTTTTAAAAAGAATAATTCACTAAGAAGTTATAACCTTGATGCACCAAATGATAATTTTTAAATTTATAAAGCAAAAATTGATAGAATTTAAAAGAAACAATTGAATCCATAGTTAAAACACGTTAATTCTATCAAAAAAAAAGTACTGACTGAGTTTAGGGGTTGAGTTTGGCTGTATATAAAACAATGATAAGACCAAACCATGAAATAATAATGTTAAACAAGATACACATTTATTTTTCTCTTGCCTGCCATTAAATTGTAAAATGACTCAGGAACACCGATCAGGGGTGATAACACCATCTCCACAATTTCATTATTTCTCAGGCTCCATCTATGTTTTCTTTTCCTGCTATCCTTAAATGCTAAGCTTTTGCCTCAAGGTCACCTAATGGTCAGAAGATCAACCGTTCCAACTTTTCCATGCAGGAAAAAGGAGGAGAAAAGCTAGCTGAGCCAGTCCCATTTTAAAAGATTTTTCCTGGAAGTTCTTTTAACAATTATGATAATGTTTCATTGGCCAGAACTTACTCAGATGGCATCCTCTATCTGGGGAAAGGTTGAGGTGGTTTTGTTTTTGTTTTTGTTTTTTAAATCAGGACACAAATGGAGAGTAGATTTTGAATAGGATAAAAAACTGGCAGTTTTTACACTGGAAAAAATCAAGATAAAAAATAAGTAGGGATATGCAGAGGTGTCCAACTCTTTGGCGTATGGGCCACACTGGAAGAAGACTCGTCTTGGGCCACACATTAAAATACACAAACACTAATGAAAACTGATGAGCAAAAAAAAACCCAAAAACATTTTAAGTAAATTTATGATTTTGTGTTGGGCAACATTCATAGCCATCCTGGGCTGCATGCGGCCCATGCACAGATTAGATACCCATGAGATGATCTGAATAATACAGTTAGCAAATTTTGTGTCTAATGTACACAGAATTCAGTTCAATTTTCATTTGCAATATTCACCAAAATTGACCAATTAACATAACAAAAAGGATAGCTAAACTAATTCTAAAAAGTAGGTATCTTCACTTTTCTCAAGGAATGTTATGATGGTTTAGCATTAGAAAATATCTGTCAGTGTGATTCACTACATTAACAGATTAATAAATGACCTTAAATAAAAAAGGTTAGGGAGACCTATACTAGTGGGTATCAAAATGTTTGTAATGTTTATTTTTCACTTTTATTATTGAGTTAATTCACATATCATAAAGTTCACAATTTTAAAGAGTAGGATTCTGTGGGTTTTAGTATATTTACAAGACAGTGTAACCATCACCACTGTCTAATTCCAGAACATTTTTATCATCTCAAAACAGTGTGGAGCAAAAAAAGACAAACTTACTGGTGGACTACATCAAAATAAAAAACTTCTGTATGACAAAATACACTAACAAAGTTAAAAGATAGTTATGGAATGGGCAGGGGACTGGTATCCAGAATGTATATGTAAAGAAATACATAATAATTCTTACAGATTAATAAAAAAAAGAATAAAAATGGGCCAAAGATAAGATAGTTTGCAGAAAAGGAAAGACAAAGGGTCATTAACCATAACAAGATGCTGACGTTAGGCATGCAGGAAGTGAAATTAAGCCAATGAGAGATGTGGTTTCACCTATCAGTTTTCAGACATGAAAACATTTGCTAATATCTAGAGGGAGTATACTTTGGTACAGTTACTTTGGAGGACTGATTCACAGTATTAATTCAAAATAAAAATGTACTGACTCAGCAGTGTTACTTCTTGGCATCTACTGTAAATAAATATTTAAAATATTTGTACAAATACTTATACTAGGAGGCATATGCAAACATATATATTATTTAAAACACACATCAAAAGAACACTTATGTTTTAAGGGACAGGTGTTCCTTAAAGGACAAGGTCTTTTTCTATGATCTGAAAGTACATCAAGATGACAAAATTAACCAGTGGCTGTTAAACAAAAATAAATGGAATAAACTTTTCTACTAAAGCTATTTTCACTTTGGGTCAAATAAGAAAAATCAGGAACTCTTCAAAATGATTGAGTCAGAGAGAATTAAAGACTTAAAACAGACCATACAAACATTTCTAAGGCAGTGGTTTAAATATTCATATTAAACAAAATTTAAAGTTAAAATGAAATATTAGCTGTTCATATGTATAAAAAAGAAAGTTTCAGACTTTAATCTTTTAACCTGATGTTTTGCTTTTCTGTGCTCAGTTTGAGAGGTTATAGAGGATAGATGCAGATATCAGGTAATCAGTTGAGAAAATGATAAGATTTACTTGATTAGCCATGAATATGGGATAAAATATTAAAAGGTTTATCTTAAATGGAGAAATACTACCAAGTGTAGTTATTATACTTGTACCCAACATCAAATTCCTTGAGAGTTATATATTTTTTGTTTCCCAGTATTTCATTTAAGTTTTATATGTAGTGGTTTCAGTTAATGTTTTTAAGTTGTTGATAACAACGGTGATGACAACAAGGGTGACAATGCTCTTGGAGAGCTCTGAGTAGTCAAGGCAAGCCAAACCATTTTGGTTTTCTTTTGTAGCCATTTCTAATGCCTAATTTATTTTCTTCAGGTATTTAATGACTCTGCTATGAATATCCATTCAAAATGTTCACATGTCACGGCTATTAAAAGTTCACAGAATTTTATGCAGTTCAGGTAACTTTTAAAACTAAGAAAACAAACTGACAGTGACCAGAGGGGAGGAGGAGGGGGGATAACAACAGAAAGAAGGGGAAGAGGCACGCAAAAGGACATGAATAGAGGACTCACGGGCACGGACAGTGGGGGAGGATTGACTGTGGTAGTGGGGGGGAACAAGGTAGGGGTGAGCAATGGGGAAAAGGCAGGACAACTATAACTGAACAATAATAAATAAAAATTAAATAAAAATAAGAAAATGCTTTCATTTCTAAAATAGTTTATCAATCAACAAATAATATAAAAATTATATTTATTGTGTTTTAGATTGTTAACCCCACAGAAACAATCAAATTTCAATCAATGGTTTGATAAAGGAGACACAGGTATTTGCCATTTATATTTTTTCTAAGACTTGGAAGTAACAAATTATATCAGGTTTTTATAGTATTCAAATAAATTATTTTGATTGTTTGCATTTCTGGTTAACTGACCATGCATGCCAGTTTTTTAAATATATATTTTCCTAAATATAAAGCAAATACATTTCATTGTTGAAAATTTGGAAAACATAGGAAAACATAAAAGATACCAAAATAACACCACCCAGACATAATCAATTATATACATACCTGTGTATGTTCTTGACTTTTTTCTTATGTATATGTATGTTTTGTTCTTTTATATTTCCTCCACAAATTTGAAGCATGCTATGTGTATCATTTTGTATCCTTTTCTTCCTGCTTGATATACTGTTGTTGAGGATATTTTTCCATACCATTCAGTAGAATTTATTTCTAATGACTATATAATATGCCATTGTGTGGATATGCTATAACTTATTTAGCCATTCTCTCACTTTGAATTTTTTGTTGTTTCCAGTTTTATTATTATTATTAAAATAAGGTTACTGTATTCTTTTACATAAATCTTTTATCATCTTGGATTATTGTCTTGGAATAAAATCATAGGAAGGTCATAGGATATATATTAAGTTTATTATCCTAGAAACAACTAGCTGTTGGAATTTTTTTTTAAGATTTTACTTATTTATTTTTAGAGATGGGAAGAGAGGGAGAAAGAGAGGGAGAGAAACATCAATATGTGGTTGCCTCTCGCTTGCCCCCCACTGGGGACCTGGCCCACAACCCAGGCAGCATGTGCCCTAGACTGGGAGTCAAACCAGCAGCCCTTTGATTTGCAGGCGGGCACTCAGCCACTGATTCACACCAGCCAGGGTGCTGTTGGAAATTTGATACGCCCTTGAAAATACTAACTCATTCTCTGTCTCTCTGTGTGTGTATATATGTGTATACATTTTAAATATATCATAGACATATATATGCATATTTTGGTAACCCAGTAACATAATGGTTATTCCACTCAGGCTACATAAAAGTCTTCACCTCTCCTTGTCTGTAGCATGTGGATTACTGACTATTTTGAAGTTTTAAAAATGGCTCATCCTGGCAGTATAAAAATTCTGTAAATATATGCGTATTCAGAATGGTCATATGCTATTTCTCCCACTCTCAATATAGAATTCAACCAATAAAATATGCTTATTTTATGTAGGTGAATATCCTTCCTGCTTTCTTCTAGAATGCAGAAATATATCTTGTCTACATAGGTAATCTGTTCCACATATTTGTAATCCTCTATATATGCCAAACAGAGTGTTAGACAAGGAAGGAACAGCTAATCTCTAGAAATAATATACTGCTAATACAACTTGTGTGGAGAAATGCATATATCTGGTATAGTCCTAGCTGCCATTGAGCACTTACGGTGAGGCTTCATACCCAAGAAGGCATATAGTTATCTTAGAAGAAAAAAAGCCTCTGTTCAGTAGTTTTTAAGCATATTTTTGAAGAAAGTTTAATAAATTTGGCTATATTAAGACTCAGAATTTCGGCCTTGGATGGCGTAGCTCAGTGGATTGAGTGCAGGCTGCGACCAAAGCATTACAGGTTCAATTCCCAGTCAGGGCACATGCCTGAGTTGCAGGCCAAGTCCCCACGGGGGGTCATGTGAGAGGCAACCACACATTGGTTCTCTCTCTCTCTTTCTCCTTCCCTTCCCCTCTCTAAAAATAAATAAATAAAATCTTTTAAAAAATGCAAAGTTTTGGAAGGTAAATTTATTTATTTAAAAAAAAGACTCAGAATTTCTATTCATCAAAAGACACATAAAAAATGGAAGCTGGAGACTTTCAGCCAAGGTGGTAGCTTAGGTAGATATACTTTGCCTCCTCACACACAAAAATTTAAAAACAAAAAACAACAAGACCTAACAGAAAATCAAACTGTATGGAAGTCTGACAACCAAGGAGTTAAAGAAGAAACATTCATCCAGACCAGTAGGAGGGGCAGAGACAGGAAGCTGAGGTGAGGAGGACTCATGGCAAGGTGGCAGCTGGAGGCCCGGGTTGGATGATACAGTGGCTGTTGGACCAGGCGGTCCCACATTTGCATGCTGATAAACCAGGAGGAACAACTGGGGAGCAAGACAGACTGTGCAACCGAGGCTTTCAACATGGGGAAATAAAGCCTCAAAACCTCTGACTGTAAAAATCTGTGGGGGTTGTAGTAGTGGGAGAAACTCCAAGCCTCACAAGAGAGTTCATTGGAGAGACCCACAGGGTCCTAGAATGTACACAAACCCACCTACCTGGGAATCAGCATCAGAAGGAACCAATTTGCTTGTGGGTAGTGGAGGAAGTGACTGAAAGCAAGCCAAGAGCTGAGCAAGCATCATTGTTCCCTCTCAGACCCCTCTCCTACATACAGCACCACAAAAAAATGAGTGGGTTGCCCCATCCTGGCAAATACCTAAGGCTCTGCCCCTTACTGTGTAACAGGTGTGCTGAGACAAAAAAAAAAAAAAAAAGGCTCAAATGAAAGATCAGATCAATGCTCCAGAAAAAATATAAGTGATGAAGAGATAGCCAACCTATCAGATGCAGAGTTCAAAACACTGTTAATCAGGATGCTCACAGAAATGGTTGGGCATGTTGCAAAATAAAGAAAGAAGTACAGGCTATGCAAAATGAAATAAAGCAAAATGTACAGGGAACCAACAGTGAAGAGAAGAAAACTGGGACTCAAATGATTTGGACAAGAAGGAAGAAATAAACATTCGACTGGAACAAAATGAAGAAATAAAATTTAAAAAATGAGAGGCTTAGAAACCTCCAGGACAACTTTAAACGTTCTAATATCTGAATCATAGAGTTGCCAGAAGGAGAAGAGGAAGAGAAAAAAAGTGAAAACTTATTTGAAAAAAATAATGAAGGAGAACTCCCCCGATCTGGCAAAGGATATAGATTTGCAGGAAGTCCAGGAAGCTCACAGAGTCCCAAAGAAGTTGGGCTCAAGGAAGCACATACCAAGGCACATCATAATTACATTACCCAAGATTAAAGATGAGAGAATCTTAAAAGCAGCAAGAGAAAGGGAGACAGTTACCTACAAAGGAGTTCCCATAAGACTGTCAGCTGATTTCTCAAAAGAGACCTCACAGGCAAGAAGGGTTTGGAAAGAAGTATTTGAAGTTGTGAAGGGTAAGGACCTATATTCAAGATTACTCTGTCCAGCAAAGCTGTCATTTCAAATTGAAGGGCAGATAAAGTGCTTCTCAGACAAGGTAAAGCTAAAGTTGTTCATCACCACCAAGCTAGTATTACAGAAAATGTTCCTGGCTGGTGTAGCTCAGTGGATTGAGCTCAGGCTGCGAACCAAAGCATCGCAGGTTTGATTCCCAGTCAGGGCACATGCCTGGGTTGCAGGCCATGGCCCCCGGCAACTGCACATTGATGTTTCTCTCTCTCTCTCTCTTTCTCCCTCCCTTCCCTCTCTAAAAATAAATAAATAAAATCTTTAAAAAAAAGAAAATGTTAAAAGGACTTATAAAAAAATCAAAACTAGGAACATTAAAAAGGCAACAAACTGACAACTATCAACAACTGAACCCCAAGAAACAAAAACAAAAATGAACTAAGCAACAACTAGAACAGGAGCAGAATCACAGAAAGGGAAATCACATGGAGGGTTATTATTGGGGAGGGAATTGGGGGAAAATGGGGGGAAAGGTACAAGGAATAAGAAGCATAAATGATAGGCACAATATAGGGGGAGGTTAAGAATAGTATGGGAAATGGAGAAGCCATAGAACTTACATGCATGACCCATGGACATGAACAAATGTGAGGGAATGCTGGTGCAAGGGCAAGTGCAGGGCAGAGGAGAATAAAGGGCAGAAAAACATGAGACAACTGCAATAGCATAATCAATAAAATATATATTTTTGAGATTTTATTTATTTAGTTTTTTTAGAAAGGTGGAAGGGAGGGAGATAGAGAGGGAGAGAAACATCAGTATGTGAGAGCTACATTGATCAGTTGCCTGTCATATGCCCCCAACTGGGGGCCTGGCCTGCAACCCAGGCATGTGCCTCTGTTGGGAATCAAATCTGTGACCTTTCAGTTTGCAGGCCAGTGCTCAATCCACTGAGCCACACCAGCCAAGGCAATAAAATATATTTTTTTAAAAAGAATGGAAGCTAAGTCACCAAGTCATCAAAAGACACTATAAAAAGAATGGAAGGCAAGATGATTTAGAACTGTCAGAAGCCTAGTTTCCAAAAACGTGTAAGGAACTTGTACTAACCAAGAAGAAAAAGACAGACAATGCAACTGGAAATATGTGCAAAATACACATATAGGCACTTCAAATAGAAAATCTTTTGTGGCCGGTAAACATCTGAAAAATTGCTAAGCAAATCAGGAAAATAAAATCACAGTGAGATTCATTATATATCCACCATATTAGTAAAATTCAGAAAGTCTGACAATACTAAGTGTCGCTGAGAATGTAGGGCAATAGGAACTCTCATAATTATTGTAGGAACTGCCATTTGTAAGTGACCATATATTGAGACCACACCTAAATTATAATTGGAGTTAATAATTTTGTGTAGTGAAAACTGAATGACTGCCTAGGGTAGCTGAGGATGGTCAGTTGCCACAACAAAAATTGGTAAACAGCCGGGAAACTAAACTTTGAAAATAGCTTAACATCTGGTAAAATGGAAGATACACATACACTGTACCTTGTAATTTCGCTCCTAGATACAAACAAATATATACCTAGAGAAATACATACATGCAAGTATATAGGTAAAAGAATATTTGTAATATCATTGTTTGTAATAGCCTCAAAGCAGAAACACATCAAATGCCCATTTGCAGTAGAATGGATAGATACATTATGTTGTGTTTGGGTAATGGGATACTTTACATCAGTGATAGTAAGCAACTATATCTATGCATAACAATACAGATGAATCTCACAAGCACATGTTAAACAAAAAAGCAAGATAAAGAGCACATACATTATTTCATCATGTACTATTTTAAAACAGGAAAAGTAAACTATAATGCTTAGGTGATATAAAAAGCAAACCAAGGAAATGCATATACAGAAGTCAGGATAGTGGTTACATATGAGGAAGAGGATATGAAGAATACAGGGCCTTTTGGAATATTCATAATTTTCTATTTCTTACCTGGCTGATGGTAATATGAGTGTTCTCTTCATAATTTTGTTCCTTAATCTTTTCCTATAGGTTTTATTCTCTTCTCTCTATGTATTCATGAATTACATGAAATTGCCACTTTGTAGGTAAAAAATGGTTAAATATTGGCAATTTCATATGGTCTAACATGTTTTATTTATAATTAAATTACAAAGAGAAAATACAGTTTGTTCTCATATAACAAACAGATGCTGAGTGTGGAGATAAAGGGACAACAGGACAATTGAAAGAATCAAAATGTACTTCACAAGTAAGTCAAATGTTTAAAATATTCTGTTTACATTTTAATTTCAGACTTAGTATAATGAAGATTATTTATGTTAGGTATAGATGATATTAGCTTAGTAATCAAATTGTTATGGTATTACAGAATCAATTACTTAGAGGAGTTTTAGATTGAAAAAGTTTACATGAAAATTCATAGAGTTGACATTAACAAATATATATATATATGTAATAACAACTAAATCATTACTGAAGAAAATTATTTTGTTTGGTAATATTGAACAATTCAAGACCAGTGGTTACTATAAAAATATCTTCAGAATTTTTTTAAAAATTGAAATCTTTAATGATATGTATAGACAATGTATACCACCTTTACCATACTGGAGGTTAAAACAAGAGAAACCAATTGGCAGTTAAAAAATAGTTGCAGGGAAGTAAGTAAAGCATAGCAAATATAGTCAATAATATTGTGATAAATATGTATGGTGCCAGTTGGGGTACTGGAAATATTGTGGGAAACACTAGTAAAGTATATGATTGTCTAACTACTAAGCTGTACACTGGAAACCAATACATAATAAAAATAAGTAAAATCTTAAAACAAGAGGAACAACACTGTTGCTGTAAAGAAATACAGGTAAAAAGTACATTTAAATTTTTTTGGTGTAGTGACCCAAACTATTTTTATAATGGGATTGGGTGTAACAAACATATTTTAGAAATCAGCATACAAAATAATATAAAGGAAAATTAGTTATCCAAGTTCTCAATCTTTGCAGAATAAGTAGCATAATGAATATATAGGGGAAAAATGCAAAGAACATAAGGAGAGCAAGATTGCTTAGAAATAAATTACTTCTCCCTTTCAAGAAAATAACATATACAATTCTTAAACCAGAGCATGATGTGGAAATTTTAAAAGAAAAATTATTCCCAACCATTTTTCTTCTGGTTATTGTTTACTTTTTCAGGTAGGAGTAGGAGAAGTGGAACTGGAAACAAAAAAGAAAAATTAGAAATTAAAAATTGTTTCCTGATTTTTGGACAGATATATTTCGGTATCACTTTTAGCAACTATTCTTATTTTACTACTTTACCTATGAAATGATAACTTCATACATTAATATGGTATTTTCCACCACACATTTTTATGTATGTGAATTTATTAATGCAGTAACATTCATTTTTATAGTTTCTGTTACTTTGAATTTGCAGGTTATATATGAAGAACATTTTGGGAAGCCAATAGATAATAATGATGGAGTAGAAGAAGAGGCTGAGAATTTTTCACGAACTCCTGAAATTCCTTTATTTTTAAGAACTCCTGAAGCTGTGAAAACACCTGAATCCTTGGAGAAATTACTGTTCCCTAAAACCCCTCCATTTGAAATGTAGGATTTTAATTAATTATTATAATTAGAGAATATATGTATTGAGTTATATAAATAATTGATAGGAATAATAAAATGTTTAGTACATTTAAAAAGGTTTCATTATGAAATATTTCATATATACAAAGACGATAGATACTAGTATAATGAGACTATGTACCTACCCTATTTGAACAATTATTCAATTATTAACATTCTGCCATTCTTGTTTCATATATCGTCTTCTTCCTTTTTCCTAAAACATAGTTAAAGATGGCATAGACTCTGAGTACTTACTTAGTGAAATAATCTATATATTTAAGATTTCCAAAAGATAAAAAACCTACATAAAAATTTTAAATGCCAAGCTAAAAAGCTACTATCCCATGTGGTAGATTGTGAACATCATTGAATAATATTCTAGCAGTCATTTTTCTTTCCATTGTAGTGTCTAAAGCAAGAATTGCTCTTCTATTAAGTGACTTAAGTAGGCATAAATATCTCTAAAGTGATTATTTAACTTTGGAAACCACAGATTTGTAGTTTTCAGCCAAGAAAATACTTCAGCGTTTTGAACCTTTTGTTCAGTTCATTCACTCCAATTCTTGATGCTGACCCCTGAGATTTATCTAAATCATGTCAAACAGATTTCATTTCATCAGAAATCTCTCATCTGTGTTCTACTGCTATATTTTAAATTGCTAGTAAGCTATATATATATACACACACACACACACACACACACACACATATATATATATATGAATAATGCTATTGACTCAAACACAGCATGTTCAAAGTGGAACTCATCATTAATCTGAGAAGTGTAAAAGGATGTGGCAGTTGTATGCTAAACCTTCTTTATATGATCTTGGACACTGATGGTCATGGAGGTAGTTAGGGAAGTTATCTTCAGACTTCTGTAATATTTAACAAACAATAGCACTATGTCTATGAATTTATAAATATTGCTCATTTAAGATTCACAACAGAGGTGTGTCAAAACAAAAAAAAATGACCCAAACAAAAGAACAGATCAAAGCTCCAGAAAAAATACAACTAAGCGATGAAGAGATACCCAACCTATCAGATGTACAGCTCAAAGCACTGGTGATCAGGATGCTCACAGAATTGGTTGAATTTGGTCACAAATTAGATGAAAAAAATGAAGGCTATGCTATGTGAAATAAAGGAAAATGTACAGGGAACCAATAGTGATGGGAAGGAAACTGGGACTCAAATCAATGGAGTGGACCAGAAGGAAGAAAGAAACAAACAGAAAAGAATGAAGAAACAAGAATTCAAAAAAATGAGGGGAGGCTTAGGAATCTCCAGGACATCTTTAAACATTCCAACATCTGAATTATAGGAGTACCAGAAGGGGAAGAAGAAGAGCAACAAGTGGAAAATTATTTGAACAAATAGTAGAGGAGAACTTCCCCAATCTGGCAAAGGATATAGACTTCCAGGAAGTCCCAGCAGCTCAGAGTCCCAAAGAAGTTGGACACAAGGAGGAACACACCAAGGCACATCATAATTACATTACCCAAGATTAAAGATAAGGAGAGAATCCTAGAAGCAGCAAGAGATAAGGAGACAGTCACCTACAAAGGAGTTCCCATCAGACTGTCAGCTGATTTCTCAAAACAGACCTTACAAGAAAGAAGGGGCTGGAAAGAAGTATTTGAAGTCACGAAAGGCAAGGGCCTACATTCGAGATTGCTCTATCCAGCAAAGCTTTCATTTAGAATGGAAGGACAGATAAAGTGCTTCTCAGATAAGGTCAAGTTAAAAGAGTTCATCATCACCAAGTCCTTATTATATGAAATGTTAAAAGGATTTATCTAAGAAAAAGAAGATTAAAAAATGAACAGTATATGAGGTCAAACTCACAATTATTAACAATGACACCTAACACAAAAACAAAAATAAACTAAGCAAACAACTAGAACAGGAACAGAACCACAGAAATGGAGACCACGTGGAGGGTTAGCAACAGGGGAGCGGGAGGAGGAGAGAAGGGGAAAAGGTACAGAGAATAAGTAGCATAGATGGTAGGTAGAAAATAGACAGGAGGAGGGTAAGAACAGTATGAGAAATGTAGAAACTAAAGAATTTATGACACATAGACATGAACTAAAGGGGGGAATGTGGGTGGGAGAGTGTGTGCAGGGTGAAGGGGAATGAAGGGGGAAAATGGGACAACTATAATAGCATAATCAATAAAATATATTTTTAAAAGATTCACAACAAGTTTATGAGATATAAATACCTTACAATTCTTATAGATGAGGAAACAATTACAAATGGTACATCTCATTAGTGTTAGAGTTGAGATCAAACCCAGGCAGTTTTGCCTCCAGAATCCATGCTTTTACCTTTTTACCCACTTATATGCTGTGTTTTCTAATTATTTTTCCCAAATAATTTTATCTTTAACTCCCTATGCAACAATCTGTAATGAGTGGCTTCTCATCAAGATTAAAATTTTGTGACTGTCTTTCAAGACCCTTAGAATCAGTGCTAAGAGTCTGGACTTTGAGTCCAGATTGCAGCATTCAAATTCCAACTTATATTCTTATAAGAATTTAAGTTGGCACTTATATTCTTTTGAGCAAATCTTTTAACCTTTCCATGCATCAGAATCATCTTCTATAAAATCAAAGTGATAATGATAGCACCTATTTCATAGGGTTATTTTGATGAATAAAGTTAGTGATGAGTGGAAATGCCTAGAATAGATCCTGATAGTAGTCCCAGTAGGAATTATTATAATTTCATAATTGATTATTCTACTTTAATATTATTCTCCACCTAAACCATCTTTTTCTTCATAGGTTTGTCACTTCAATCCCTTTTCCTACTATGAAAGGGAGGAACTGTTTCTTCCCTTTCCCTGCTATGTCAGTTCTCACCTCTGTGCCAACAATTTTCAATCTGTGTGTTGCAAGAATTCTTAAAACATGCAGTACCTGTCTGGGTACTGGGGCACTGACCTTTTTTCCCTGAGGTTTTCAAATAAAAAAATGACAATGGCCAACACAACAATAGCCATCTGGGGTCAGTGAATCAAAATGTCACCAATTTTTTGTCACCTTAGCAGAAAACATATTTTCGGTGTGCCGAATTTTAGTGATTAGTTTATGTGTGCCATCAGATGAAGAAGGTTGAAAATCACTGTTCTGTGCCATTTCTTGTGGTACTTAACCAGTCTGTAATATTTAGTGATATATTTTTAACATTTTGGTGATTTCTTATTTCTCTGTAACAGAAACAGAAATACAACGCCTGAAGGTCAGATACAGAAGGAATCCCCTGGGACTTCTTTTCTTATGAGTTATACTTCTAGATCACCTGGATTGAATTTATTTGATTCTTCTATATTTAATTCAGAAATCTCATCAGATAAGGTAATATGAACAGCTGAAGTTTTATTTATAAAAAACTGAACACTAGAACCTCAAGTAATTTTAAATCTTTAGTACTGAACTATCTTGTGGCAGAGGCAATTTTTAAAAAGATTCTGAATATTGATATTACAGCCCAGTTTACCCATTATCTTCTTGTTTTCAACTTCAGGTGCCCCAAATTGACATCTATGCATAAAAAAAGAATCTCAGAATAGGAATGATTTGAACTGCAGTTAAAGGCAGTTTAAAAATTAATTTGGCTTTATAGTTCGTATGTTTAACTTCTAAACAGTTTCCCATATTCTTAGTATAAAAACTCCAGGTTATTAGTTGTTTTTTTCATCTACGTGCCTGGTATACAGCCTCATTATCACTGGTTAACTTTAAAAGACCTCAAGAATTTCTATCTAATAGTGATTTCTCTTGTTCAGTGATAGAAATCATGATTAGTACTTACTTCTGTATTTAGCAATTGAAACTGAAAATTAAGAATATTTGATTAGGCCCTGGCTGGTGTGGCTCAGTGGATTGAGCTCCAGCCTGAGAACCAAAGGGTCACTAGTTTGATTCCCAGTGAGGGCACATGCCTGGGTTGCAGGCCAGGTCCCCAGTGGGGGGTGCACAGGAGGCAGCCACACATTGATGTTTCTCTCTTTCTCCCTCCCTTCCCTTCGCTCTAAACATAAACACAATTTTTTTAGAAAAAGAATATTTGACTAGTAAAGATAGCATAGCAAAGTGGTTAAGACTATATTCTGCAGCTAGACTACTTGGGTGTATAACTGGATATGGGATTTTAAGTATGTAATTCTTTTTTATCTGTAAAATGGAAATAATTTTTACCATAGGGTTTCTCAATATCAAATGGGTTTATGTATATAAAACACTTAGAAAAGTTCTAACCACTTAATGCCATAAGTAACAATGTAATATAAATATTAATTGTTATTGCTCATTTAAGTTAGTCACAGTTAACTGATTTTATATAGAATAGAATATTTGATTCCTACATCTACCACATAATATTAAATTGCTGAAATTATCAGTTTATTGATGATGATATGGTATAATTATACATTTTGTAGTTTATGTCTTCAACTTTTTTTAAAGATTTTATTTATTTATTTTTAGAGAGGGAAGGGAGGGAGAAAGAGAGAGAGACAGAAACATCAATGTGCAGTTGCTGGGGGTCATGGCCTGCAACCCAGGCATGTGTCCTGACTGGCAATTGAACCTGCAACACTGGATCGCAGCCCGCGCTCAATCCACTGAGCTACGCCAGCCAGGGCTGTCTTCAACTTTTATCTCAATTTTTATTTAAAAGCTTTTTTCAAAAACAGGCAATTCCTAGAAGGTACATACTGGCCATGAAAAAATAGACTATACTTACTTAATTTTGACTTACAATAATAATATAAGTGCAAAATAAATGTATGTAACCTGAGCAGGAAACATGAACATTTGGATGAAGAAAAAAATTATTGAAAAAATAATTGAATATATCAAAAGATATATGAAATACTTGTATAGGAAAAATATATTGTAAATATATATTTCTTCCACAAATAATTTATAAATGTAACCCAATTCTAATTGGAATCTTGGCAAGCTGGTTTATCTTTAATTTTTTGTTTTGATTTTGTAGTGGTGGGGTTGAGGAATGAGATTGGCAAATAATCACTAAGTTTTCTGGTCAAGAATAATAAGAAATGTTCAAAAAATAAGATTGGTAATAAATTAAAATGGAATTCCAAGAAAACATTTAACCCAAAAGAAAGCAGAGAAGGAATAGCATAACAAGATACATAGGGAACAAACAAAACAAATAGTAAAATGTTTGATGAAAATATGAACTTTTAACATAATTACATTCACTATAAATGGACTAAACACTGTTAAAAGGCAGAGATTATAACAATGGATAAAAAGCATGACCCAAACATAAGTAATATATAAGATAATACTTTAAATATGAAGACAAAGACAGGTTGAAAGTAAATGAATGAAAAAAGATACAGCATGAAAACTGTAAGCGAATGAAGGTTACAATTGCTATACTATTATCATTTTAGGTAATCTTCAAGACAAAGAATGTTGATAGAGACATAGAACAGCATTTCATAAGGATAAAAGGGTCAGTTCTTATGGCAGATACAACAATGACAAATGTGTGCATGCCTAATAGATTCAAAATACAGAACAAAAATTAACAGAATTAAGGGAGAAATAGACAAAAACACAAACTTAGTTGGAGATTTTTAACATCCCCACTCAGCAATTGCTAGAATTAGACAACAGTCAATAAATATCTTTAATAAAAGGCTGAACAACACCATTGACCCAATTAACTTACATTTATAGAACATCATATCCAGCAATTGCAGCATATATATATTCTTTTCAAGTGCTGGTGGTGCATTCAGTAAGATAGATCATAATCTGGGCCATAAAATAAGTCTTTAATAAATTTATTTTTCCATTTTAAAAATTTTACTGTTGTTCAAGTGCAATTATCTGCGTTTTCCCCCCCACCTCTCCCCACCACCCCAGCCATCCCTACCTCCCTCCCCTGATTCCACCTTCCCTTGGTTTGTCCATGTGTCCTTTATAGTTGCTCCTGAAAACCCTTCACCCTTTTCTCCCCATTATCCCCTCCCCCCATTATTATCCCCCCCCCCTCTGGTTACTGTCTGTTTGTTCTTAATTTCAGTGTCTCTGATTATATTTTGCTTGCTTGTTTGTTTTATTGATTAGGTTCCACTTAAAGGTGAAATCATATGGTATTTGTCTTTCACCACCTGGCTTATTTCACTTAGCAAAATTGCTCTCCAGTTCCATCCATGCTGTTGCAAGGGGTGGGATCTCCTTCTTTCTTTCTGTTGCATAGTATTCCATTGTGTAAATACCATAGTTTTTTAAAATATATTTTATTGATTATGCTATTACAGTTGTCCCATTCCCCCCTTACATTCCCCTCCACCCTGCACACACTCTCCCACCCACATTCCCCCCTTTAGTTCATGTCTATGTGTCATAAATTCTTTAATTTCTACATTTCTCATACTATTCTTACCCTCCTCCTGTCTATTTTCTACCTACCATCTATGCTACTTATTCTCTGTACCTTTTCCCCCTCTCTCCTCCTCCCGCTCCCCTGTTGCTAACCCTCCACGTGATCTCCATTTCTGTGGTTCTGTTCCTGTTCTAGTTGTTTGCTTAGTTTATTTTTGTTTTTGTGTTAGGTGTCGTTGTTAATAATTGTGAGTTTGCTGTCATTTTACTATATGTGTGTTTTATCTTTTTCATACATAAGTCCCTTTAACATTTCATATAATAAGGGCTTGGTGATGATGAACTCCTTTAACTTGATCTTATCTGGGAAGCACTTTATCTGTCCTTCCATTCTAAATGAAAGCTTTGCTGGATAGAGCAATCTCGAATGTAGGCCCTTGCCTTTCGTGACTTCAAATACTTCTTTCCAGCCCCTTCTTTCTTGTAAGGTCTGTTTTGAGAAATCAGCTGACAGTCTGATGGGAACTCCTTTGTAGGTGACTGTCTCCTTATCTCTTGCTGCTTCTAGGATTCTCTCCTTATCTTTAATCTTGGGTAATGTAATTATGATGTGCCTTGGTGTGTTCCTCCTTGTGTCCAACTTCTTTGGGACTCTGAGCTGCTGGGACTTCCTGGAAGTCTATATCCTTTGCCAGATTGGGGAAGTTCTCCTCTACTATTTGTTCAAATAATTTTCCACTTGTTGCTCTTCTTCTTCCCCTTCTGGTACTCCTATAATTCAGATGTTGGAATGTTTAAAGATGTCCTGGAGATTCCTAAGCCTCCCCTCATTTTTTTGAATTCTTGTTTCTTCATTCTTTTCTGTTTGTTTCTTTCTTCCTTCTGGTCCACTCCATTGATTTGAGTCCCAGTTTCCTTCCCATCACTATTGGTTCCCTGTACATTTTCCTTTATTTCACATAGCATAGCCTTCATTTTTTTCATCTAATTTGTGACCAAATTCAACCAATTCTGTGAGCATCCTGATCACCAGTGCTTTGAGCTGTACATCTGATAGGTTGGGTATCTCTTCATCGCTTAGTTGTATTTTTTCTGGAGCTTTGATCTGTTCTTTTGTTTGGGCCTTTTTTTTTTTTTTGGTCTTGATGCACCTGTTAGGTAGTGAGAGGCGGAGCTGTAGGTGTTCACCAGGGCGGGTCAACCCACATCCCTGGGTTATGACACTGTATGTGGGGCAGGGGTCAGAGAGGGAACAATGGCACTTGCTCTGCTCTCTGTTGGATTTCAGTTCCTTCCACTGCTTTCCCCAAGCAAACTGGATCCTTCTGGTGCTGATATCCATGTGGATGGGCTTGTGTATGTTCTAGGAACCTGTGGATCTCTCCAACGAACTCTCCTGTGAGGCTGGGAGTCTCTTCTGGCATCTCAACCCCCACAGGTGTTTTCAGTCAGTGTTTTGAGGCTTTATTTTCCCACTCTGGGACCCTGGGTTGCATGGTCTGTCTCGCTCTCCAGTTTCGCCTGGTTTATCTGTGCATGAATGTGGAACCAGCTGTTCAGTCAGCTGCCCTGCATGCCTTGCTAGGTCTGCCCGCTTCCACCCTGCACCCAGGGTCTGCCAGCCACTGCCTGCATGCCCAGAGTCCACCTGCTGCTGTCCTGTGTGCCTGGGGACTGCAATCCACTGCTTTTTTTTGCCATGACCCCTCTCTGCCCAGCTACCCAACTTCACCCCTCCTACTGCTCTGGATGAATATGTCTATTTTAACTCCTTGGTTGTTGGACTTCCATACAGTTCAATTTTCTATCAGTTCTAGTTGTTTTTTTGTTTCTAAATTTTTGTTGTCCTTATTTTGGTTGTGTAAGGAGGCACAGTGTGTCTACTTACGCCTCCATCTTGGTCCTGTACCATAGTTTTTTTATCCATTCATTTACTAATGGGCACTTAGGTTGCTTCCAGCACCTGGCTATTGCAAATTGTGCTGCTG